TTTCAGTCTTGTAGCTTTTGTGGATCTCGAGATGAAAACTCGTTACAGACGCACACACAGACACACGTACACACACACACAGACACACATACACACACAGACAACCCCTCGAAAATATGCGTTTTTGCATTGCATAGATGCAAAAAACGCATAAAAATACCAGGATCTCTCCGGCTATCTGTTTAATATATCCACTGTTAATGATGTTACTATGATGCTCCCACACGCTCGGCGCATGGGAACGTATGGAAAGCGATTAGCTCCTGATCGATTCTGCGCTGCCTTTTTCTCAGCACCCAAACTTGCATTTTGCAAACTCTACTTATCACTCAATTTCGCCTCCCCTTCTCACACCTTCAAAGATTCACTGATAACCTTTACTGTTGTTCGGACGACGTTTTATCAGCAACAGGCTCGTTCTCTTTGCCCTCACCATCCACAGAAGATGTATTCACCGTGTCGCCATTTACCGCATCACCATTACGAGTTCCGCGACGTCCTCTACCTGCAACAGGAAAAAAAGTCACGAAAAACTAGGCCAGTGTGAAAAATGCTAATTTTATACCCCTTCCCCAACCGCGAAATTGCATTTAACTATTACCATACTCTCACAGGCCATCACTAAAAGTGATAAACTGGGGCGCCGCTTTTATTTCCAAAATACAGCTACAACACAATGTTCATCATGAAAGGTCCAGGTGATCAAAGTGTATCACGAAAGGTCCGTAAGATAAGATACGTGACAGCGGCTTTGCATGTTACACTACCGAAACAGGGAAGAAAGCAGTAGCAAGGACTACAGCGATGCAGCTCAGGAGAGAAATAGCAATAGTACGCTTGACGCACGACTGCAACCGAGTAACATCAACACCAATGCACTGACAGAGGACAATGTTTCATTTTCTGAAATCTTACAGACTCAAAAAACACTGAATTATATACCTCCACGACCACGGCCACGAGCAGCACTCTTGCGTGAGCCATTTTCACCACCTGACTGCTCCTCTCCACCGGTTTCCTGGTGATCACCCTCTGATGCACGGCGGCGTTGCCCTCCACGACCACGACCTCGTCCACGACCACGACCACGTCCACGACTACGATAACCACCACGACCGCGTCTTACCACCTGAACATTTACAAATGCTGTCAAAAACAAAATATTCCTTTAAAAAATCGCACTTTTAAATTCATAAGTAATCTAACAGCTTCCCTTCATAAGAGTCGGCGCCCGCTACCACAGCTTCTACAAGTGGGAACTCCCGAATGTTAATGTTAGCAAAAAAGCAAATTCTACAAAGAATATGCACGAAATCACCTCATACTGATAAGTTCTGAGCCATTCTCAGAGCCACTAAGTTCCACGCTGCCGACGAATTCTCAGTGAACTCACGCAAAAAGTTTTTGATAATCAAGAACTAGATTGCAACCAAAGTACGGTAGCTCATAAGGCATTAAAAATGCCTACCTCGTCGGCTTCGCCTCCCTCAGCGCCATCAGCTCCATCACCTTCCGAGTTGGCGCGCCTTGCACCACCTCGGCCTCCGCGATATCCACCGTAATAGAAGCGACGGCGATAAGGTCGTCCTCTACCACGTACATCGGTCTTGTCCGCCGCATATTTCGAACCTTCTACATTACCACCATTCGGACCTGTAACATTCGCTGCTTCCGGTCCCTTCTGTCCTTCCACTACGTCGAATTCAACCTGAAAAACCAATGTTGATTTTGCATTCCCACTGCGTCACAGCAACATACAATATTCTGCCATTCCCTTAATAAAGCGGTTACGCTTGCGCCACTCACACCACACACACACACACACACAAACACACACACACACACACACACACACATACACTAAGCCTGTTCCATAACCGACAGCACTGTCCATGAACAGTGTACGGAAGATGCGCGTGTCGATCTAACAAGCCCAACGCGACACAGTCATCTCCTGCCCTGAACTCCACTTCCTGAGAGACGGCGTTCACGTCTGTCAGCGAAGCAGTCAACATTCGGATTTGTCTAAGCAACAATAAGCAGCTAATGGAAACTTCGAGCTTAAATTTCAACATAAAAAAAGCAACCTTTTCGCCATCTCCCAAAGATCTCAAATACTTGTTGGGATTGTTCTTCGTGACAGCCGTCTGATGTACGAAAATGTCATCGCCTGTGTCGGCGCGGTTTATGAACCCATAGCCGTTCTTAACGTTAAACCTGGAAAACGAATCCGCTTTCAACTTAGAAAACCATCGAACCTAACAGGGCATGCCACAACGGCAGGCGACCAAATCAAACTGCTCTTGCCTTTATAAGCCGGGAAAAATCAAAACCAACCACAAATCAGTTGAAGCTAACCCACTGTCAGCTATCAGTTAGCTGCTCCCACTGCTCAAAAAATGTGATAACTCCCTCCACTTTAAAGCAGTCTCATGGTGGCACTGAAATTATACGAAGATCACATTTCGCTATTCTCAAAACCAGATCTGAGAGCAAAGCCAGTTCTTCCAAGCTAAGTTCACTTCACTTTTCATTTCGAACCCAAATAAACAGCGACGTGCACTACTATGGCTGGTGCGATCATGCTTTCTGCGCAACCCTGTCTAGCGAAATGCTCGTGGTAATTTTTGCTCGGCGGACGCTTAGGCAATGTGTTCAGCTGACGCTTGCGCAACTTCGACCAGCGAACCGTGCTGTCAAGTATGTCCACTGCACTGCCGTTTGATGCGCACAGAAATTTCTACGATTTCCGAATTATTAATTATGGCGCCAGAACTCTTACTTCTCTGTACGTGAGAGCCGAGCCCGCAAAAACTAATTTGTGCTTGGGTAAGGAGTATCATCCTAAAATTTCAACTTCCCACCTTTTCAAGTTAATGATTTTTGCACCAAAATTTCCACGTACCAACGCTTGAGAACTGAGGTACGTGCGAGAGCTGATTTCAAAGTTCAGGGTAGTACGCGAGCAGGGAAAATTCTCCTAAATCTCAGACTCCCCGCTTCTGTGGTTCCCGCATTTCAAAAATCCATGCCCTTTCCTTAACGATAGGTAAAATTTTGGCATTTCTGTACAAAAAAAGTGGAGCCAATCCCGACAAACTGTTTGTTCTGGCGAAAAAATACTTATTAAGTGTAAAATTCAGGCTTAAACATCAAAATTAAGCTGACCACTTTACGGTGCCCTGGATGTGACGCGCGACGATCTTCTTGCCGTCAATGTGGTTTTCGTCATTTAAGGGCGCTTCGATTTTTGGCTGCTCTTGTTCGCCCTCCGGCTTCTTAAAACATTTTTTATGAAAACAGAGATCGCAGAAGAAATTTTAATTCCGAGTCACAACTCAAAGCAGCGTGGCCAAAACCCACAATTAAGTTCCCCTGTATGCCAGTAACAGGCACTGGTATGCAGCTCAGATGAAAGCAGTTTCGCAAATAAGGATGTCGAAGGCTATGTGCAAACCGACTCCTTGAAATGCTATGCTCCACGATCAGATGCTG